CCGTCCCGTATTACCTTGTCTACGGGGAGGAACCACAGCATGTGTGCAGAGCTCAGGTCTCTCCCTCCACACTTTGGGGACCAAACTCAGGCCATCGCTTCTCATGGCAGCCGAACCATCTGACTGTCTGGGGTTAGGGTGGGGAGTCCTCACTCACTGTTCAGGTGGGTATGGTCTTCAATCCCTGACCCTCTCAAGGGTTGGGGGATGACAGGGGTATGCTGCCACAGCCATTAAAATTCAACCTCAACACAAGAGTATCACTGCGAATTGTTTATTAAAACACAAAGCAATGGACAGTGAAAAACATCCTGATTTTTTTACTTTTTGGTGGGAGTGGGCGGGGCACGGGAAGGGTGGAAACAGATGGAGATGGCCCAGAAAGAAAGACAGCTCTATCCACCCCTACTGCTTCCCTGGCCAGCAGGTTCCAAGCCCCTTGAGTATACCTTGCCACGCACTGCTGTGAATGCACGGTGTGGCCAGTCAGCCTGGCCTCGCAGGGGAAGATGGGAAAGAACAGGAGCTACAGGAACTAACTGCTAAAGATCTCCAACACTTGGTTCCACACAAAGCAGCCAGGATCAATGCTGAGTGGCGGGGTTGGTTTCCTAAGAAGCCAGATTTGGCCAACAGAGGTTGAAGAGGCTGCCCTGAGTTCAGAGTGACAGCCGCCCTGTCCCAGGGGAACCTTGTGCAGAGGTAATATTCCTTAAACTCCAACAAAGGGACTAGTCCAGGGTCAAATTTCTTTTCATTCCCTGGGTCATGGTTCACCAGGGAAGAGAAGAGGCCATGAGTCTCTTGTGACTCTGCCACGACGTCTCTCCGTGCCAAGTGTCCCCTCCCACCCTGCACCTCGTCTCTCCTTTCCTGAAAGTCCTCAGCAAGGACGGAAAGCACACTTCAGTATGTTGTTGTTTTCCCTCATACCGAAGTAAAGCACTAAGCTCAAAATAGAGGTGAGGATGGAGCTCTGCTTTTCCCGATGCTATGTGCTCCCATCGCATAAGACTGCCTGGATGCAAGCGTGCCAAGGCCTCTCTGCCAACTTCAGCAGGCACTACCGTTCCCCTGGCTGCCAGCACAATCACGGCCCCTTGTTTTTACACTCCTGGGAAGAACCCATCCCAAGAGATCCACTCTGTTCTTTTCCTGCCAACCCAGCCAGCCCCCAAATCTGCTCTTATCAAGATGATCTCCCGCCCCGGCCGAGCAAATGAGGCAAAAGCAGGTGCGGAAGGACAGAGCAGATCAGCAGCAAGCCTCAAAGAACCCAGGCCCCCTGGGCAGCTGACCCAAGCTAGTCTTCTACGGTTGTGAAGAACACCAGCCCGCACCCCGGAAGTCCACAGAGTTTTAGCTCTACCTGGAAGAGAAAGCCAGCGTGAGCCTTCTGGTATGGGCAGTAAAGCTTCTTTGCAACTTTGATCCCTAATTACACCTTCCCCAGAGGAGAGACTGAGCCCTTCTTCAGTCTCTGAGCAGGTCCTGCGTGTCTGTGGTTTTGCTGCTGTGTAGTCTCAGCCTTACCTGAGAGCTGCCTTCCTCAGCAGGAGGCCCCAAATGAGCCCCTAAGTGTGTCTTTCGACAGCAGGGGCATTTGTTAGTGCCTCACCTGAGGAAGCTCACCTGCTCTCTTAAGTCCTTACAGTCACAGGAAAGTGTCACATGTGTTGGCCATGATTACATTAAGGTCCCTCAAGGCAAGAAGACACTTGAATTATGCCAGAGTAGGCCAGCAAGAGAGGGAAGCAGTCCCATAGCAGGCTGCAGGGCCCCTGCCCAGGCCTCAATCTAGAGGGTTAGGGATGCCCACCTGACTCAGAGCAGGGGAGGAAAAGGCACTGTGCTGACCAGGGTGGACCCTTCCCCAGTTCCCCGGGAGGGGGAGGGCCTCCTGACACCTCCCTAGACTCCGCAAGGTGAGCCGTCTCTAAGGAGAGGGGGCTGAGTGCTAAAAGGGACTCTGCTGCCATTTTCTCAGATTCTTAGCTAAGCGTCTAGACCAGGCCTTCACAGAACAAACAAGAGAAATTCCTTAAAACAGAAGCTTCTCAACAAAACCAAAGGAGCCAATGCACAGCTCTTAGAGTGTCCCAGGCACAGATGGGAATCAACACAACACTGACTTTGCCCCTCCTCATCCAGGCTCAGCAGGAGCAAGAAAAGAAGGCCACATTTCTCATGGATAGGTGACTCCTCTGACACCAAGGGTACTTGAAAACTACCTTTTAAGTCATCAGAACAGTGGGTGTCCACTGAGCAGCGTCTCCTTGGTAGTGGAGACTCTCCAAAAATATAGATTTGGTTTAGGAGACATGGATACCACAAATCACGTATTGGCACAATGTTTAAGATAGCTTGAATAAAACCCAAAGCAAACCAGTCAGAGGCCAGCTGGCCGGACGTAAATCACACTGGGCCGCAGACTCAACCCAGCCGCCTTGCCTGCTCCTCCCACAAACTTTAAGAGGAGCACCCTCAGGCAAAAAGGAGCAGTCTGCCCTTACCTGCCTGCCTGCCTCTGCCAGCTGGATCAGGGGGCTCTGGAACCCCGGGTCAGACTGTAGCTCGGACAGAAAAGCGGGCTCGCCTCCCCACGCCTAACTCTTTGCACTGGCTCAAAACCGAGAGGGAACAAGCTGGGCAAAAGGCAAGGGGGGCAATGAAGTAACTCTCCATACACACAACACAAAAATAAAAATAACGTGTGCCCCACCCGACCCTTTCAACCCACTCCTCATGTACCTACGTCTTCTTGGAGTAGGGGGAAGCTTTCAAGTTCAACATTGTGAGCTGGCTGTCGCCAGCCTTGAGCAGCTCTGACTAGCTGGGCAGGCTTGGCTCAGGGGAGTCCACCCCAGCCCCCACCACTCCTTCCGTGCCCTTCCTCTCTTCCCTTTCACTACAGAAAGATGTCCCTTCCGCCTGGACACAACTAGAGAGGAAGGCACCCGTCCCTATCCCTACGGGGAGGGCTGGGCTTGGAAACAGAGGCAGGGCAGAGGCGCTTGGCTCACAGTACCATTGGAAAGGCCCCGCCCCGGGAGGCAGCTCTTCTTATCTTGTTTACTCCGCCCACAGGTCTGTACATAGTGATGCCGGGGACCAAAGCCACTGTCAGGAGCCCAATGAGTCAGGAGTCCCTTGCCCGAGGCAGATGGTCCCCAAGGCCATGGCAGTACCTTATCCTGAAGGAGCAGGAGCTTTAGGAGCACTCCAGGGAGTGCTCCTGAGAGCAACCTCAGGCCACAGCCATCTGGCTGCCAACTCAGTACCCTAGGCTAGCCTAAGTCATAGAGAAAATAAAGGACAGTTCTCAGTGACTACATGCTGGCCTGCAGTCACCATTAGGAGACAAAATCAGGACAAGAGCCCAGAGCTACTTACTCTGTCACATAGTTCAAATATTGGATAAGGCAAAATCAAAATTTAAACACATTCCAGAAATACAGGCCTGGCCTGAGATTCTATACTGCTCCAACTCAAGCTGAAGCAAATCCTGCTGCCTCTCTCCTGGAAAATCCCGTTTAGCTTAGCTGAGTTGTACCCCACTGCTGTCTTAACTGACAATGGGATGGAGGTGACCAAAAGTTGGGGAACAAGGAGACATCATCCCCGACAAAGTCTTACTGAGAACCTGAAAGACACTTGGATGCAAAAGTTAGGTGACATTCAGAGCCTCCACACTACAGCTGATTAGGGGTCTTTCAGGCCCAGGGTAAGGAGAACTCGACCGCTTCTTGCTAGGGGCTGAGAGGGGAGGGTACAGCATCTGATGATGGTCAATAAGGAGAATGGGCTGGTGCAGCCAGGCTCAGTTCTCTGGGGTGACTCTGGGCATAAACCCAAACTAGCTGAAGTAGGACAGAGGACATGGGGATAAATGAACATCAAAGTCTGGACCCACAGTGGTCAAGTCACCTCCAGGGCCCGAGTCTCTGAGGTTGCTAACATAAGCCTTTTCTAATCCAAAGACCAGAAGAGACTTTTAAGGTCAAGGGCTCTGTTGCTGCAGGCTGGAAAGCATCCCTGCCCCGGCAGCAGGGCCCCATGGAGGGGCCAGTGAGAGCTGCCGGGGCAGGCCCTCCTGGCTGCTGGCTCAGGGATCCAGGGAGGGAGGTACCAACAAGGTGAGGAGGTGGAGGGGCAGACACTCTCTTCTCTGGTCTCCTGCCCATTTTGACAATAACTTAGCTCTATGGTTGAGAGTGAGGATTGAGAAGAGATTTCAAATGAACCAGATTAAGAGAAAAATCAACAAGAAATCAAGTCCTCAACAGGCACTGAAATCAAAATGTTTGTTGTGGCAACAAGCGGTAGGCGGCCAGAGGGCCTGATGTAGCCGTCCCGGGTACCAGACAGTCCTCGAACTGCACAGACGTCAAGGAGACAGAGGACAATGAAGAGGCTCGCGGTGGAAGCATGGGCAGACTAACCCAGAAGGGCTTCCCAGCACAGAAGCACGGCCTTCCTTTCCCCAGTTCCCCCTTGTCTTTACCACACACCCACACACACCCACACACGCACGCACGCACGCACACACTCACACACACACACCCACACACACACACACACACGCACGCACCCTGAATACCACGGCTTCTGAAATCCTATCTCACATGAATTTAGAACACAACAAACTCCCAGTGTGGGTCGTCACAGGTTATACGACATTTCCCTGCCCTTAACGCCTGACCTAGAAACAACCGCTGTCCCTACTGAGTCCAGAGTCCTCCTGCTAGGTCTGCAATACGGATCCTTGGAGAAGGACGCACTCACCTCCACAGCCCAGCGGAGGGACTGGGGGCCAGTCACAGGGACAGAGCAGGGCCCAGCAGCCCCAGGAGCAGAGGTGGAGGGCTGCCCACCATTCCGCTTTTCTCCTCTCTTCACTCGTGTGTGTGTGTTGTTTGATTTGATTTGTTTTGTTTTGTTTTGCTAAACACTGTCAAGAATACAGAAACCAATACGTTTGGTGCCCCCTCCCTCCACCCTGCTGAGCATGGCCATTTGTTCTCACAGCCGGCAGAGGCAGAAGAGGGTCGGAATGAACACTCCGAAGGCCACCAGGATGGGGAACATGAGGCTGCTGTTGTCCGAGGCGTAGGGGTTGGGCGTCCGGGGGCCCGACTGCACCCTGTTCTTATTGCTCTGTCTTCTGGGGTTAGACCCCTCATCATACTCTTCTTCCTCCTCCTCCTCTTCTTTCTTCTCCAGTCCTGGATGAGGCTGCAGCTTTGGTACATCTCAAAGAAGAAAATGCCTTTTAGGTACACGGAGGCCCACAGCGCTTCCGCGCTCCCCAGAGACCATGCAGAGCAGTGAATGAGCCCCGGGCCAGCGATCCCTGGGACCTTGCCAGGGAGGAGCAGAAACTGTCTCAAACCTGAACAGCAGAGCAGAATATGACCATAGTCATATTCAGATTTAACTAAAGTAAAACAGGATCTTCTCCAGAGGGGAGCTATTACCCTCTCCTGTCTCACTTCTCAGCCCCAGAAGGCCCGCCTCAGGCAGGTCCAGTGAACTGCATCTGAAACTTACTTCAAACCTCTTCTTCCTTCTCTGAGCCCGCATCACAGTCCTTTTGGTTCAGACCCCAAGGGCCGATCCACAAGGCTCTGGCTCCAGCCTCATTACACCTGTCCTGGCTCCTCCTAAGAAATCACGTGGGGCTGGGGTAGAGTCTCACCTTCCTAGAAGTCACGGCAACACTGAGCTGGGGTTGGGGAACTAAAGGGACAGCTTCATAATTAAGAGCACTGGTTCATCTTGGAGAAGACCAGGATTTAGTTCCCAGCACCACATGGTAGCCCACAGCTATGCATGCATAGCCACAGTTCCAGTTTCTTTTCTGAGCTCTGCCAACATTGCACACATGTGATACATACATAACACACACAGAGAAAAAAACATACATGAAATAAGCCTAAAAAGAGGGGTTGATTTCTATGCATTCAAGATGAGAAATTACACAGAGACAAGATGGGCAAGGAACACAAGAAAGACACAAGCTTTCTCTGCAGAGATCAGCCCAAGAGGCTGGCAGCCAGGGTAACCTGAACCCAGAGCATGAAATAGACAGAGGTTGAGCTCCACAGCCAGGGGACTTTAGCAAATGAACTTTATCCATGTGTAATGTAGCAATACCCACCAACAGCCAAGGGGACTCCTACTTTTATCATTTTCTCCAAAGGACTAGGGCCCAACCCCAAATGGAACTTAGACACATTTCAGGTAATTCTAGTAGATTTATTCTCTCTCTTTCTCCCTCCCTCTCCCTCCCCCCCCTCTCTCTCTCTGTTTGTGTGTGTGTGTGTGTGTGTGTGTGTGTGCGCCATGTGTGTGTGTGCATGTCTGCGCCATGGAGGCCAGAGGACAACTTGTGGAAATCAGTTCTCTCCTACCATGTGGGTCCTGGGAACCAAACGCAGGCCACCATAGGGCAGTTAAGAATGTGTCAAAGATGGGTGTGGTGGATTATCCGGGAGACTGAGGCAGGAGGATCTCAGCATTAGGGAGACTGAGGCAGGAGAATATCAAAGTCAAGGACAGTTTAGTCTATTTAGTGAGTTCCAGGACAGTCAGTACTAGAGAGACTCAACTGAGCACGCATGCACGCGGGGGTGGGGTGTGGGGGGTTGGGAGGGTGGGGTGTGGGGGGTTGGGAGGGTGGGGTGTGGGGGTTGGGAGGGTGGGGTGTGGGGGGTTGGGAGGGTGGGGTGTGGGGGGGGTTGGGGGGTTGTCAGAGGCCAACTGTTGATTAAACAGTAGCAGGAGGTATGAACACAGATCTGACCTTACTCCTTGTAGCCAGCATTAGTTTATACCTTGACTTACCTACCTGACTGAATTCCCTATAATTTGGCTTTTAATAATGCGAAGACAGCTAAACTATGTCAAGCCTTCCTCAATCATACCCTAACTTACCATCCACTGTCCCAGCCATGATGTAGAGTGCACAGACCTTGGGGTTGTCATAGTAGCCCTAGGAAAAGGGAAACCACAGTCAGCTACGTGGCAGCGAGCATCATCCCCTCCCTCAGAGGCGAGGTGTGCTGATGGTTACCTTGACAAACTCAATGTAGAGCTTCCCTGTGAAGGTGGACACCTCCCCGTGGACGCTCAGCTTCCCCTTCCTGATGCTCATCGGGATGATCTCATCATGAGCCGTGCTGTGCCCAACACGCTCAAAAATGTCCAAGTCCTTCACCACAACATGGCCGTTCAATCGGACATCAAATACCTTCCAGGGACAGGAGAGACAACGGCAACCCTGTCAGCTTCACATCTCTGCAACAAGTTGGACATTATTCTGGATACACCCCAAGGTGGCTGGAGCCCTTCACCTCAGTCAAATGAAAAGCACGACCCTTTACTGCCTCACGGGAGAAGGGAGGCATCTGCAGGGGCATACCAGGGAAGGATGCAAGGGCGGAAGGAAGTAGGAGGTTCCCGAGAGGATCACTTCTGCTAGCAATCCAAGACAGTAACGGCCAACGGGCAAGGGGACATGGCTTCTCTAGAACGGGAGGACCCAACCCTCCCTCGGAGATCACTGTCCCTCCCTTTTGAGGAGGTTCACGGGTCTCAGAGTACCCAACTGCTCAGAAGCAGCCATGTGCCACTGGTCAGGCAGGGGCCTGAGCACGCCTCACCTTCTGCTGAGACTGTGCAAAGTAGACCTCGGCGAATTTCAACACCAGCACGTAGTCCCCCTCCTCCTTTATGGGCACTTCGTAGCCAAAGGTCTCCTCATTGTACCGCTCTGTTTGATACAGGATCTGGTCCTCAGGGTTGGAACGCAGGATTGGCAGTTTCATGCCATAGTCTGAGGCTGGAGACAAACACAAGCAGAAAGCACATCAAGAGGCAAGACATAAACAGTGCACACCCCCCAACCACCACAGCCATGCTATTTCCAGGGCAATTCCAACCAGCAACTGTCCCAGCACAAGGGCTCTCCCTCTGCACCTGGTTCACACACAGACAAGACTCAGGTGGCTACTGACATGGAAGAGTAACGCCAAAAAAACCAAACAGCAATCACATGAAAATTTTTTCCCGGGACTGCTGGGAAAAGGTGGAGGCGGATGAATCTAGTTCATGATGTGAAGGGAGTGAAATGTGTCAAAGCTCCCCAAGAAGGAGACCTTCAGAGGAAACTTCCTGAATCCAGCGACACTAGCAACGGCATCAGTTCAAGTGTGCTTTTCTCAGTGTGGAGCAAACAGGCTGTCTGTCCAGGGAAGTGGCTCTCCACTGTCACGGTCTATACTATAAATAACACACTAGCTGGACTTTTTGGTTTTTTGAGAATTTTTATTCAAGAAAGTTCCTAAGGTGGCAAAGGAAAACAGGCTCGCAGAAAGAGGGAAGGAGCTCGGCAACTGCCCCAATGTAACTCACTTCCCACAGGCTGCAGACTCCAGCTGCACCACTGTTACCCAGGAGAAAAGTCCCCCAGAGCATCAATCAGCCAGCAGCCACTTGGTGCCATTCCTAAGGAAACAAGGCTGAAGTGCTTGTACGGCAGCAGAGGCAGGCCAGCCAGGCTCACCCAGGACCACTGCATCCCGTGCAGGAGCCTGCCTCAAGGCTCGAGTCTCAAGAAGCCATCTCCCCATTTCACAGACTGACAAGGTAAGGAAAACCTCTACAGCCCTTAGTCCTCTCGTGACAAGTTACAAATGAGTGTTGTCTTTGCACAGATATACATATCACACCCCCCCCCCCAGTCCCAAGAGATGGATTCTCATGCATCCTGAGGAGAACAATTGGGTTCTTTTAGCCGAAGCACACAATAAGACTTCCCAGAATTCCATAAAACCCCCTTCCCAAACTTCTCAGCAGGAACTGAAGACGTTAGACCGCCTTCCACTTGAACACGGTGACCCTGAAGACATCTGGCACCGAGACCCTTTGACAGGCCCTTCAGCCATGGCCACACCACCCTGACCGCATCTAAAGCCCTATGACTCACTCCTAGGAGCACTATCCTCCAAGTCACCACCATTTCAAAGGAGAAGACAGGACGGAAGGTGAAAGATGAACTAAAAGCCCCAGGGGCTAAGGTCAAGCCCTCAGAAAAATAAACAGGACTCTTAACAGTTCCTGTGAGTGACATGGGCCTTGTGATCAGATGCACTCATGAGACAATGAGCAGGAAACGGGCTGTAGCTCTGTCAGACTCTTCTCCCTGTATCTCCTCAGGAAATCAAAGCACCACGGCTTACAAAGGATGTGGGGCCAGCACGCCCTAGCTCTTCCCCAGCTCAAAAGCTCCAGGATGTACACCTACCAAACCTAAATGGCCATTTCTCTTCCAACTGAGTGCTAAGAACTTCTTCCTCCCAGGAGGGCCGGGACTCTTGCAAACTTGGAACATTAGCTAGATAGATTTCATGTAGATTCACAGGAAATTCTGTGCATCTGGAGCAGCCCCCTGCACTGACTGAGAGCCCCACAAGCTAGCAGTGATGTTCTCCAGTCAGGCTCAGCTCCACAGTTCAGAAAGCAGCCATGGGGACAAGAATTAAACAACCTGGGGTGACCATTCATTGCTCTCCCTTTAAGCCCCAAGTGGTCATCCTAAGAGATCTGCCACAAAGTCCCAAGAGAGAGTAAAAAAAAGAGAGAGTTAAAAAAAAAAAAAATTCCCTCCCCTCCTTAGCCTTTGTATCTGGACAGCAGAGCGGGCTTCTTTAAGGAGAACGGAAGTACAGTCAGCACACTACTCAAGCTGGCACAAAACAGCTCACACAGTTAACCAGGAAGGAAGGAGGCAAAGGCCTACATTATACCTGCTACTGCAACTCTAGATAGTAGAACGGCTCTTTGGAAAACTCAACCCAGTTTCAGAGTAAGACAGGCCTGGATTTGAACCCTGGCCCTCTACCTACTAAGTGATGCTGAACTAACCGTCTCGTTTAGGTCCATGTCCTCATCTATAGAAGAGGGCTAACACCCTCCACAGAACGGTGGTGAGGTGGGACACCTATGAAAATCTTAACAGATGACTGCACATGGAGACAGACCAAAGGTAAATATGTAGGAATGCCAGACGGGCAGACGTGCACACAGTAAGCATGGAACAGAATAGTCACCACGATGGAGTGCATGCCAGCAGTTCATGCCTGCGACCCCAGCACTGTGGACACTGGGGTCAGTTCACACCTGCGACCCCAGCACTGAGGGCACCGGGGTCAGCTCACACCTGCGATCCCAGCACTGAGGGCACTGGGGTCAGTTCACACCTGCGATCCCAGCACTAGGGACACCGGGGTCAGTTCACACCTGCGATCCCAGCACTGAGGGCACTGGGGTCAGTTCACACCTACGACCCCAGCACTGGGGACACTGGGGTCAGCTCACACCTGCGATCCCAGCCCTTAGGAGCTGAGGTAGGAGGGTTGCCACAAGTTCAGGCCAGTCTGGACCACACAGTGAGAGACCCTGTTTCAAAACAAATAAACAGATTGCTTCTTCTACCTCCCCCCACCCCCCCATGGCTCCATCCTTTTTCTAGTGAGGTTAGTTTCTAATGAAATATCCTCAATAATGGAGGTAAGGAGGCTTAACGTAAACTCCACTTGTGCTTGGGAGACCCACAGAAGAAACACTTCTGTTAAGATGGTATAGGAACCAGATTCTGAACAAACCTCACAGCCAAGAGCAAAGCAGAGCAGCGGTGGCCAATGGACTCTCCTGCTTTCCTCTCCCTCCCTCACACCCTGCACCAAGTTCTTACCTCCTTAGGGCCACACCCTCTGCCAGAAGGCAGCCTAAGAAAGGTCTGCTTTAGGGTTAAATGAAAGTCACTAGACAAGCTCAGGTCTCCTTGACAGCATTTACCCCTGGAGACACACTCTGACCTATTTTTAATTCCGTGTGAAAGGTCATCAGGCAGGGGAAGGAGATGGTGGCCCTTCCCTCTGGACAGCAGTCCCATCAGAGGAAGCTAACACACAGGGCGCACTGTGCGGGAGGAAGACAAGCCTCAGGGCACTCACTTCCAGCAGGGAGGGCTCTACCAAAGAAAGGAGGTTCCCCTAAACCATGCAAGCTCCAAGCTCCGTGCCCTTAGCTAAACAGTAAGGTCTTGTCACCAAAGATAACCAAACCAAGAACCTGGAAAGCCAGGCCTGATGGTACAAGCCTGGGATCCCAGCACCTGGGAGGCAAAGGCAGGCTAATCAAGAGTTCAAGGTTACCCTAGGCTACATGGTATGTTTGGGGCTAACGTGGGCAACACAAAAGCCTGTCTCAAAACAAACCAACAACACAAAAGCCACTCACACGACCCAGAATGCACAATATGCCACAGCACTTTCTATCTTCCTTCCTTCTTCCCTTTTTTAAAAGGTATTTTATGTGCACTGGTGTGGAGGTGTCAGATCCCCTGGAACTGGAGTTACAGACAGCTGGGAGCCACCATGTGGGTGCTGGGAACTGAACCCAGGTCCTCTGGAAGAGCAGCCGGTGCTCTTAACCACTAAGCCATCTCTCTAGACCCACAGCACTTTCTATAGTGGTGTTTCCATCTGTTGAGCAGAAGCACACTTTCCCAGGCTGTGAACACTAGCTATCCCAAGGCAGAAATGAAATTCCATAGGCATTATGAAGTATCTTTGGAAGCGTAAGCCACCACCGGGTACCCTACCCGGGTTCAAAATCAGGCCAGACCCTCACCTGGACTAAGCTGGTAACAAACACCTGGACTCACTCAGCAGAGAAACAGCTTCCCTCGGTGTGCTGCACACACGACGACAAGCATTTGGAGAAAGAAACGAGGCGTCCAGTGCCTCTGGCAATGGGCATAAATAGCTGCATGAGACAAGGGTCTCTGAATACCTGGCATGCCCTGACCCACAGGGAGAAGGAAGGGCATGTGGACAGCTGCTCTTCCCCTGGCAGGCCTATCCCCTCGCAGCACAGACCGCTGACTGCTGGGAGGAGCCTAAACTTATCTGGTCCCAGACTGAATGCCAGGAACCTAGTGAGCACTGAAACCCACTGGCCCCACCCAGACGAGCAGACAGCCCCAGACAGCAGGGGGTCTTCATTTCTACATTGCCCCAAATGCTAGTATCCAAAAATCACACACCACTACGGAGTCTCGTGGGCCTCATGTAGCTGTATTTGCTACACTTACTCCCCAAGCCCCATCCCTGAGCGCTCCGTCCTCCAAGGACAAGAGAGCCTGGCTGGCTGCTGACCAGGCCAGACAACTAAACCACCTGCAGCAGCAGCAGCTTAAAAGCAGAGCTTGAGGAAGGGCACTACCTGAGGGCTGAACCTAAGTCTTAGCCAGCCTTACCCTCTGTACTGGACACCTCTCAGACAATGCGGCCAGTTTAAAGGCGGGTATCTGAATGTAGGAGCCACCTGCATGAAGCTCTTACCACACCATTATCTCAAGAGGCAAAGTCCACCAACTGTCAAGTTTCGTCAGGGGCTCCTTCCTCTCTGCCCACAGCCATGAAGAAAGAGGAACAGCCAGTAATAGAGGCCGTGAAGTCCTGCTGCTACCGAGTCTGGCCTTGGCTGCCACAACTTGGAGCCCTGACTCAGCTGAAACCCGGCTCCTGGGACCCTCACGCCAGGGTTAAACAAATTCCAGGACACACAACTTCATAAGGCAGCCATGTGTGCCAAGCCCCGCTCATGTATGAAAGTAGTAAGTCCTGGTCTGTTGTGTTAACCGAGACGGATCTCACAATGTAGCGCTGGGTTTCTGGACCACCTGGGACTCCCTGCGTAAACCAGGCTGGCCTTCAGTGCTCAGGGGCCCGCCCGCTGCTGCCTCCGAGCGCTGGTATTACCTGCCTAACACACTCACAATAGAACTACCTGACACAGAGATCGGGAGGAAACCAGTTGAACCCTTCAGTAAGTTCAAGAGCCACAGAGGGACACTGGAAAAACTGTCTCCTAGTTGTCTCGTAAGGCACATTCCAACTTGGTAGCCTTTGGACCCAACATATAGCGTGAGTTTTCCAGAACATGATACAAGGAAATCCCCAACCCCTTTTTTTAAAAGCTCTACATATGTGGGTATTTTGCTGTACATCCATAGCCTGGGTGCTGGTTCTCAAACTCGGATCCTTGGGAAGAGGGATCAGTGCTCATAACCTCTGAGCCATCTCTCCAGCCCCGGGGTTGCCTTCTTAAAGCTGTTTTTCAATGCTGCCTATTGGAGAATTTAGAGCAGATATCTCCAAAGAAAGGATTGGGGTGACCTATAACAGGAGCGCCTGGTGTAGAAATCTGAGCCCCAGCTAGTACGGGAGAGTGTCCAGAGTCGGGCCCTGGAACCTGTATTTCCAACCACCTGCCCAGGGAATCAAGTCTCACACGCTGCCAGCGTAAACCGTCCAACCATAAAAGCCACTGCTGCTACATCGGTTCAGCCTCGACCACCCTGCCCGCTAAGCTGCGATGGCACTCAGGATCACCTGAGGGGCACTGGGACACAGAGTGGCCTCCTGAACACACGGCGCTACCATCAGCCGCACGCGCAGGGCAGGCTTCAACGTGCCAACACCCGACCGGTGCCTTTTACTTTTAAGCGCACAGACTCCAAAGGAAGGCAGGGGAGGAGGAGGGTGCCGCCGTCAAACTTTCCCGGCCCATCCCCTTCGAAGCCGCCCCGCTGTGCCGGCTAACAAGCAGGCCGCACTCTTGGGAGAGAGGGCCCCGGAAAGCGGCCGTCGGGCAGGGGAGTCGGCGACCTGTGACCTGCGAGGCCTCCGGGCGCCGGGCCGAAGGCCAGTCTGGACCTTCACTTCCCCAGCTCGGGGCGGGATGGTGAGGGGCCGAGGGAAGGCAGGAGGAGGACCTCAACCTAACTTCTCGCCAACTCTCTGCCCCGATGGCTCTTGGCCGCTCCCAGCCAGGGCTGGGCCCGGGGCTCTGCCCAGGCCCCCGGGGGCCCCGCGCGGGGACCTCGCTGCAGGGACGTGGTCTGCCGGCCGGGGCGGGAGGAAGGGGCTCGGGCGGGGCGGGGCGGGGCGGGGCGGGGGCCGGCCCTGGCTGCGCCCCGCAGCGCTCGCAGGCCCCGGACCCCACGGCTCGGCCGACGGGCTCTCACCTCGGCCCACCCGGCCCTCCAGAGGGTCCTTGCGGAAGTGGATGCCGTGCACGTCCACATGCGCCTCGCCGCCCGCGTTGACGGCCCAGATGACGCTGTCGGGCAGCCCGGCCCCGGCGGCTGCCACCACGCCGAGCCCGGGATCGCGGAGCCCCGGCGGCGGCGGCGGCAGCAGCAGCAGCAGCAGCGGCAGCGGCAGTCGGAGAAGCGCCACGGCGGCCGCCCGGGGCCCCAGCATGGCGGCCGGCACTGCGGGGGCAGCCCCCGCCGACCCTCGTCCCCGGCCGGGCGCAGGCCGCCCCGGCTCAGCACAAGCGCGCGGCGGGCCGCTCGGCCTCAGCAGCCCGGGACATCGCTCTCGGGCCTCCTGCGCCTCCGCCTCCTCCGCCGCCGCCGCCGCCTCCTCCTCGGCCGCGGGTGCCGCCTCCCACCTCGCGAACAACCTACCCCGCCGCCCCGCCCTCCGCCCGCGCGCCCCAGCCAATCGGAGCGCGGCCCTCATTAACTACCCACCACCCCGCCGAGAGCGGCCCTCCTATTGGCCACCGTGCCCGGGCGGGGGCGTGGCCGCGCCCAGGCCCCGGCCCAACCACCGGGCGCGAGAAGGAGCGCGCGCCGAGGGAGGCAGGCGGGGAGGGAGTTCGGTTGAAGCGGCGGCCCCACGCGGAAGTGGCGGGTGCGGCGCCCGGGCCGCCCCGGAGTCCACACACCGCGATGGGCAAGGCGGCCTGGGGCGGGGAAGGCTCAGCGAAGGGCGCACTGACACGTCGCCAGCACTTCCGGTGCCCTAGATCTCGGGACCGGGTCGGCCCCGGAGGGGGCGTGGCCGTCCTCTCGGTCGCCCCCGCCGATGGCTCGGGAGGGCGGCAGGGGCAGCAGCGCGGCTCGCGGCCCCGGGCCGGCCCCTGCCCGAGGTGCCACATGTACAGGTGGCCCGACCCGAGCCGCACGAGGACGCGTGGTCGCGTCCGCGGGCCCGGCCAATCAGGACGCTCCAGCGCAGCGGAAACGCGTGGCCTTTAGGGGCGGGGCCCCAGGCTGCGGCGTCTCCATGGCGACGGTGTCCGGCGGAGCTCGGCCTCCCTCCTCCCGCCCCCGGTGGCGACCGCTGTCGGGTGCCCTGGGCCACCCGGCCCAGGCTGGGCCCCAGCTCCCAGCGCTCCCTGCGCTAGCGGCCCTGCCCCTGCCTATCTGCCCAAACTCCCGTTTCTACGCTGGGAAAACGGGAGGAGAGAGCCTCGCGTTCCACCGCGAGTCTCCCCTAACAGCCAAGTTGTCAGAGGAAGTTAATCCTTTGTTCCCTCCGTTACTACCAGTCATGACCCGGGTTGTCAGGCTGTGCCGACGAAGTGTAGAAGGCCAGGTTTGAACTCGCTTTTGTGCTTAAGAGAAAAAGGGACATATTTTAAACAATTCTCCTGGGCTTGGAAGACACCAGGTGACACATTGCTGTATCTATCCCCAGTACTGGTTCGGTCCCTCTCTTGGCTTCCCAGCGCTGTCACCCTTTCCATCTTCCAGCCTCTGCAGACCCAAAATGCAAAAGACACCATCCACTCACAAAAGGCCTTTGTGTGTGTTTCGAGACAGGACTTCTCTGTGTGACAGCACTAGCTGTTCTGGGACTCGCTCTTTAGACCACGCTGGCCTCAACCTCACGCAGATCGGCCTGCCTCTCTGCCTGCCTGTACTGGGACTAAAGGCTTGGGCCGCCACTGCCCAGCCAATGAGAAAATTCTCTCCTCACCCTGCCACTCTCTGAGATTCCCCAGAGGTTGAGCTGAGCACTGTGAGTGCGCTACCCTTGAGGTTCATCCCAGACTTCGTTGTTTTCTTTGAGCCTGCCTCTTGCCAAGTTGTCTAGGCAAGCCTCGAATTTGTGATCCTTCTATGTCAGCCTTCTGGATTCGTATCGGGATAAAAACAGGCCTGTGCTACCTTGCCCAGCTGCAAAATATGCTTCTCATGGAAAAAAAAAAAAAGGAAGGGAACTTGAAAAAGATCATACACCCATCCAAAGCCAAGATTAGGACTGTAGCCAAGAGAGGCCCTGACAGCCGCCCGTTCCCACAAGTTTGAATCTCTCAGCCACCTCAAGAAGCTGAAAAACAGGAAATGTCCCCCACTTTTATGGATGAGAAACTAAAAAAGTTGAGGAAGGTAAAGTAATTTGGGTAAAACCTACAACCATGTTTAGCCTCTAATCTACTCTTGCTGTGATCCCAGTTACCTATGAGGCCATGTTTGATGCAAATTACAGCTCTACCCGGTATCCAATGTTACTTGGGAAAGGAATTCACCTGGCTGTACCTCAGTTTCACCCTTTGTGATACAGAATAATTGTACACATCTGTTAAGACTGTGAGACTCAGAGGAGAAGTTTTAAGTGATAGGGATAAAAGGCGCTTTTAGAAAAATCCTATTTGTTAATGGCAGGTGGAGCACACAGATGCATGCCACAGTGTGGGCATGCAGGTCAAAGGACAACTTGGAAGAACCAGTTCTCTCCTCTAGCCTGTGGACCCCAGAGATGGAACTCCGGTTGGCAGGCTTGGCAGCAAATGCCTTTACCCCCTGAGCGAGCTTGCTGTCCTCTTCTTTTTGTTTGATTTTCACTCAAACCCCCCACCAAAACCAGGACAGCCTCAAACTCGATATATAGTTGTAGGTGGCACCAAGTGCCTGGACCTCCCGAGCTACCTCGCCAGCCCAGCAGCACACTTTTAAAGCTAGTATTGTGGGACCATTGAGTGGGCAGATGAGTGTCAATAAAGAATCCGTCTTGAGTGTTTGGGGCCACAGAGACCAGGATTGAAAGCATGCCTCTACTTTCTGGAGCTACATGGAACCAGGAGGCCCAGCCTCCTCATCTAATGGATGTAATTAGAATAGCCTCACTCAAGACTTTCAGAAACCCTTAGCAGAGGGCCTGGATCATAAATGGTATTTAGTGCACAGTAACTATTAATCATACAAGAAGAAGTAATTATAACATGTCCTGCCGACAGTCTAATAGTAGAAAAGGCCCTGGCGAGCAGACCAGGCTAACGAGTTGGGAAAAACCCTTCTACCCAAGGGAGCGAAAAGCCAACAGGAGCTAGAGTTCAAAAGTGGAAAACTGAGTAGCTGTTTATAAACCCCTAGAGGCAACTTCACCTTGACCCACAAAACCGAAAAGAGGTGTGTCTTCCGGTACAGATAAGAATCCTGAGAACAAAGCATGCTATTAATTAAGTCTAGTCTATTTTAAGTTAATGGGATATTTCCCCACTTAAGAATAAGCTCACAACAAAACTCAAGAGGAAAACACAGAGGGTGGGTGGGGACCACTTTGCCGGCTGCTCTGCAGTCCACCGATGCTGAGGTGGGTGGTCTGCTCTCAAAGCTAACTTTGCTTACCTTAGGCCTCTTGGAAGTCAGATGGAAGAGGGATCGGAGCCACCCAGAGAGGCAGAGGACCTGCACATAGTACTTCTGCCTCAGCCCCAGCCAGCAGGAAACCTGACCAGGTCACCACCTGCAGGGGAAGGAGGCTGAATTGGCATGCCTTAGCTTCCCTGTGGAGGCTATGACTCAGAAGGAGCTGGAGGACAGAAAGGGCCAGTATGTGAGTGGCCTTGGGCAAGTCACTTTCCACTGTGACTGATGGCTCCTCCCTGGAGAAGACCGTGGTCTTTAGCCAGACTGCAAAACTTCAGACAACAGCTCTTTCCCTGTTAGATGACAAAATGATTGGGTTGGGGACGCCAAGGACATTTTTCTTTCTTTTCTTAAAGAAAGGATCCCATGTATCCCAGGTTGAGCTCAACTTATTCTGTAGCTGAGGATAACTTTACAAGCATACTCCACCATGCCTTGTTTCCGGTCCTGGGGATTGAACCCAAGGCTTGTGAATGTTAAGTAAACACTCTTAAGTAAAACGTCCTGAGCACCAAGGGCAACCTTGTTTCATTTGCAAGGGCAATCTTGTTTCATTTGTATTTTGGTACAGTCTTGCCATGCAGCCCAGGCTGGCATAGAACCCTGACCCTCCTATCTCACAGCCTCCTGAGTGCCGGAGTACAGGGGCTGACCGGTACAGCTTGCCTTTTGCTGTACTTCTAAGGTGGCATATGATGCTCCAGCTGGGAGAGGTAAAAGCTGTGTTGCCAAGTCCTTCCAAGTCAAGAGAAAGGCCTTTAAGCTTAGCTCAGAGAAAATTCCAGAAGAGAGGACTGTATGTGTGAAGGGCTTGAACCACACCTCCACTAAGCACCAGGAACTCACAGAGATCTGCCAGCCTCAGCCTCCTTAGCTCTTCTTCCCTCCCTCCTTCCTCGAGTGTAGTGTAGGCATGCCCGATGCTCTCAGAAGTCAGAAGAGGGTTCTGGAGTCCCTGGACTGAGCGCATGTGTGGGTGCTGGGAACTGACTGTGGAGTGGTCTCTCTAGCCCCCAGGGGAGCTATTTCCCTGTAACCACCTACAAGTTCCTTTGGCATAGTTGTGACCACAATGCCAGACATAACTCCAAGAGTTTGAAAAAGGCTTAGTCTACCTTGTGGTTTGAGAGGGTTCAGCGCATGCTTACACAGCCCCACAAACTACCCCAAACATCAACACCGGGAACATGTTCTTGACAAGCTTCCTCACCGTGTGGAGGGAGCTGGAGGCAGAGAGAATACACAGCAGCTAGGGCCTCCACTGAACGTCTTCCTATTGCCCCAAAGTTCCCGCCACTTCCGACAGTAGAGCCGCCAAGTAGGGCCAGGACCAAATGTTGTATCCAGTGGGGAATATTTTATATTTCAACCAAAACTCAGAACTCTGTCCTCTCTCTAGAAGTGAAAGCAGGAGAAGATGACAGACACCTCAAGGAATGAGGGACAGTCTGAGTCTGCAATCTGAGGCTGCCAGGTACAACAGGCCCACAAGGCAGAGGCAGCCATTTCCAGATAACCAAGCCGGATTCCACATCTGGGCTGATGGTGGTGTCACCATGGACGGGAGCTTCCTGTACAGATGTTAATTCCACTGGGGCTGGAGAGGTGGGCCAGCAGTGAAGACCACAGACCGGTCCTTAGCACCCAGCTAGGTCAGGCAGCTCACAACCAACCAACTCTAACTCCAGCTCCAGGGGATCCGATGCCCTCTCTGGCCCCTGTAGGCACAGCACACACACACATGCATGGATATCTCTACCCACTCCCCCACCACACACACACACACACACACACACACACACACACACACATAAAATTTAAAAATTTTAAAAGTTGGGGCTGGAGAGGGTGGCTCACAACCCTCTATAACTCCAGTCCCAG